TGGGAGGGAGGGCCGGCAGCGACGCAAAAAAGCCAAAATTTGGGAAACCGCACTCATTTTCACACACCAAACAAGGCCCGAAGCGCAAAGAAAACCTCCCAAAATAGCGTAAAATAACGAAATTAGTGGTTTTTCGTATTAAAAACACTCACCGTTACGGCCCCGACACACCACACAGCTGCCTCCGTCCCCGTTTTGTCGTTATTTTGGGGAGAAAAAACGTCTTTTCCAGGGTTTGCAGCGATGCCCGACACCCCCCCCCACCGGTGATGTCATCAGAAATAAAAAATAATAGAAAAAACGTCTTTTCCAGGGTTTGCAGCGATGCCCGACACCCCCCCACACCGGTGATGTCATCAGAAATAAATTGAGGACGCAACAAATTTTGTGGGGGGGGAATAAATAATTTCAGTAAAACCCCACAGCGGCCGTTTTCGGTTTCGCAGCGGGACGAGCTCGAGCCTAAAAGCGGCGGATTGAAGGTGTCCCTTAAATTAAGGCAATTTGGGGAATTTTTTGAGCCCCGAGTGTTGGTTGGGTGGGGGGTTTTTTTGAAGCTTTTGGGGTTTTTGTGGGGTTTTTGTTTTTTTTTTTTTGAGGCTGCTCTGAAATCCTTAGGAATTAAGAATCCCCGCAGCAAGCCGCTGCTCCGTAGTGATTTTGGTACAAATTCCTAAATATCGGGGGGAAAAAACCCTGCGGAGAAGGAAAAAAAAAAAAAAGAAAAAAATAGGGAATACCCCTCCCTGTATGGAGTTTTCCAGGTCTGAATTCCTAAATACAGGAAAGAACCTGCAGAGGAGGGAAAAATAGGGGGAAAAAAAGAGGTTTTGGTGCTGGTAGGAGACGGAGAGCGACGATTTGGCCTCGCGCCTGCCAGTTTTGCAGGCAGGGACGCCCACCAGGCAGGAAATCCGTCGGGAAAAGCCTTCCCCCCCCTCTTCCCTCCACTGTTTTCCTGTGGGATTAGTGTTTCCCTGCAGGATTAAGTTTTTCCCTGCGGGATTAAGTGTCTCCGCATGGGATTAAGCATCTCCATGTGGGATTAAGCGTCTGTTTTCCCCGTGGGATTAGCGAGGAGGAAGGCAGGACGAGAATCTGCCGGTTTTTTAAGTGAATTAACGGGGACGGGATAAGCGGAAAACCGTCGGCACGACCTGTCCGGGCGCGGGAAGATGCGTTTTGGGATCAATCCGGTTTCTTCCCCAACCGTTTAAAGACGCTAACGGCGCCGGCGTTGTCCATCTGAGCACCGGGGGTGTCGCTGGTGCTGCTCACCTTCCCGCACCCCCAGGTCCTTTTGATCGTCACCCGAAATTCGGGTTCGTTTTTATCCTTCGTGCTGGTGACGACGCCATCCTGGGGTTCAACCGGCGCCGCGCCGCCGATTTTGGATGCCGCCGGTTGCGGTTTCACCGTCATACGGATACCGGCGACGTTCCTGTGACCGAGACGCTGGACGGCGGCGGTGACGGCGACCGGTTTGGCTTCCGAACCGGCGGCTTTCGTCGCGACGGTGGTCTCTCCCGGTTCGGCGCTTTCCTTACGGGGAGGTTTGGTGAGTTTTTTTAACACGCCGGCGTACTGGAGGACGGAGCAGTCGTCGTCGCTCTCGGTGGCTTTGTCCCCGACGGTCCCCAAAGCGTCACCCAGTCTGCTGAAGACCCCCGTGGGCTGGGAGACAAGAACCCCGTCAGCACCCGCACCCCCATTTTTGGGTGCTTCCCTTTCCCCTTCGCTCCCCAAATTCTGCCACCGCGACGGAGGAGAGGGGGACGCCGACCTCGCCCGCCAAGTGTTTCGGCATTTAACGACGCAAAAAGCCGCCCATAGCAATTAAATTAACGATTAGGCTATAAAACAAATTTATAAATCATCTATAAAATCCTCTTCCCTCGTATTTTTCTGGAGGGGCTGAGCCTGCAACTTGTTTTACACCCCAAAACTTCTGCACTGAGGTTTTTACCCGCAGAGGAAAGAAAAAATAATCTCCTAAATCCCCAAATAAAGAGCTTTTTGCCTCCAGACGAGAAAAAAACCAAACCCTTCTCGCGTCCTCTCACCTTCCCTCCCGTGGTCGTGTCCGCTTTTGCCTCGGCTCCCAGCCGGTCGAAGACGGATGTCCTCTGCAGACCTGTAGTTTTTCAAGAAAAGAAGGGGGTTTTTTTTGGAGGTTTCCCCAGAAAAACGAAACGCCGAGGCAAAAATAAAATCCGCTCAATAAAAGAGAGCGAGCAACCACCCTTCTTCTTCTTCCTAAGGCTTAAACAGACGCGAGCGGAACCTTCGCAGCTCGCGGCGGGTCAGAATAACACAACTTCTACCCGATAACTCTCTCTGGATATGAAAATCCTCGTGGGATTTGTTAACAATGGGCTAAACCGGGGCTAAACTGGGCTTCTGGAAGAGAAAACAAAGACCGAATCCCGCCATCGGTACCTTTGGCTGCTTGCTGCTCCAGGATTTTCTTTGTCCTCGGCGTGGTGCCCTTGGGCATGTTGATGATGTATTTCCCTTCCATTTCTGCCGTCACCCGGCGGCGTTTTACCGGGATCGTTGGATTTTCGTCTGCCGTTTCGCAGAAACCTGGCGGGACGAAGGAAGGACGAATCGAGAGCTCTCGTTCCACGAAAGTGGTGGAAGGGGTTTATGAAAACCCTCCGTCCTGTCGTCCGCCTCCCCCAGAAACGACACTGTCTCTTCATTTCAGAGACATTGTGTGCGATAGCTCAAAAAAAAATCCCAAACCCCGTAGCCGGAAGCAAAGCGTCTGTTAAAATTCAACCAGGGAAGGGCGTATAACGGGAAATAAAAAGGAAAAAGCAACTTTTCGGCTTCGTTTCCACCGGGATCCGGCGTTTTCCCTACCTGCCTTCGCAGCGGCCAGTTTGTTGGAGACGGTGACGGAGATTTTGGAGGCGTGGGGCCGTTGTCGGAGGGGGGCGGCGGGAGGTGAGTCTCTGCTCAAGCTGTTGGCGATCATCCGGCTGGCGGCTGGAAGGGGAGGACAGCGCGGTGGAGGAGAGGTTTTAAACCCCCCAAAAATGCACGACAAGCATCCGTCTCGTCGGCTAAATTCGAGAACGGTCCTTCCCCGGGATCGTGGGGAAGGCAGCGGTCGTTTGAACCCTCCATCGAGATAATTAACGCACTTTGTTAATCAAGCGAGGGGGTTTAATCTCCCAGAAACCTCCCGCCCGCGCTCACCGCTGTTGGCGTTGCGGCGCAGCTCGGCTTGAACGCCGGGGGAGCTGGGGCAGAGCAATTCAGTGGCTGCCTTGCACATCTCCTGAAGGAAGAAAAATACACGGAAGAGGGGGTTTCCCTCAGGTTCTTCGGAGGCAAACGAGGAGCCTCAAGGCAAAACTTTGTTGCTAAAGGAGCCGGCGAGGCTTTACCAGCGTCGGCGAGGCTTTACCGGCGCCGCTTTTGGCGTTACCGTACCTGCCTGTACACGATTTTGGCGTGTTTGAGGATGGCGATGATGTCTCCCACCACTGTGATGCCCAGTTCATTCATGATCTCCTTGTTCAGATCCATCAACATGTTCTTCTGGATCCTGCGGTGAGGAAAGACCCGGCTTAACGAGGTCTCCCCTCGTTACGAGCTCTGATTAATTAAGCTTTGAGCGAGGTATCCCCCTCACCACCCTCACAGAAACAGCACCGAGAACCAAAAAGAAGCTCAGCGCAGCTGAATAACTAACGTAACTAATTAAGGAGCAGGATAATCGGTTAATTCCTTCCTTCCCCCTCACTCGGGGAATCTTTCGGTGCTATTTTCCCCCCATGATGTCATGAAAAGCTGCCACCTCATCGCTGACCTCACCTGTTATCCACAAACATGACAGCGTAGTTGACGGCGGGGCCCGGGGGGATCCCGGCTTCCTTGAAAAACTGAATCCATTCGGATGTCGCTGGGGAGAAAGAAAAAAAAAGAGAAAAAAAAAAAGAAA